TGTCTCTCTGTCTGTCTCCCTCTCTCTCCCTCTCTCCCTCTCTCTCTCCCTCTCTTTCTGTCTCCCTCTCTCTCCCTCTGTCTCCCTCTCTCTCTCTGTCTCCCTCTCTCTCTCCCTCTCTCTTTCTTCCTCTCACTCTCTCTCTCTCCCTGTCTCTTTCTCTCTCTCTCCCACCCTACTCTCTCTGTCTCCCTCTCTCTCTCTGTCTCCCTCTTGCTCCCTCTTTCTCTGTTTACCTCTCTCTCTTTCTCTCTCTCTCTCCTGTCCCTCTCTCTCTGTCTCCCTCTCTCTCTTTCTGTCTCCCTCTCTCTCTCCCTCTCTATTTCTTCCTCTCACTCTCTCTCTCTCCCTGTCTCTTTCTCTCCCCCTCCCTCTCTCTCTCTCTCCCTCTCACTCTCTGCCTCTCCCTTCCTCCCTCTCTGTCTCTCTCACATGAGCCCTGTGCTTTCGTAAAACCTCAGCAACTTTACCTGATGTAACTGGGGTCTGGGATGAACTTCCCTGGGAATGTGGTGGGGGCAGGTTCGATGGAGGCATTGGGGAGGGTGTGAATTGAGCAGTCATGGGAGGAGTTGGAGAAAACACGAGAGATTTGAGCCTGTTTTCCCCAGCGCTGTTATCAGTCTCTCTGTGGATTTCAGTGCCCCTGGGTAGATCTGTGTGGCACTGCCGCTGCTGGGGAAGAGCAGGAAAAGAGCGTTTTTTGCTTTTGCTACATCTAGCCCCCGTGACAGATCAGCTGCCTGTGGAAATTCCCCTGCCGGTCATTTCATACTTTATTGGACAGTCAGAGCCCAGGCTTTGTCAGACATTAATGCCTCAGCTTCGGGGGCTGAGCGCCTTCGTCTCTCTGCAGCAGAAATGAGCAGCTTCTGGCTTATAAACTATAAGCTGGGCACAGTCTCCTTTCTTCTTGTTGTCACCGTGGTATTGCCACAGTCGGGTAAGTGCCAAAGTTTAGCTGGCATCTCTTCACCTGCTTCGGGTGAGTGGTATGCTCTTTGGCTGTGTGTGTGTGTGAGAGAGTGTGTGTGTGTGTATGTGTGTGTGTGTGTGTCTGAGTGTGTGTGTGTGTCAGTGTGTGTGTGTGTCAGCGTGTGTGTGTGTGTCTGAGTGTGTGTGTGTGTCAGTGTGTGTGTGTGTGCATGTGTGTGTGTGTGTGTGTGTGTCTGAGTGTGTGTGTGAGTGTGTGTGTCTGCATGTGTGTGTGTGAGTGTTTGTGTGTGTGTGTGTGTTTGTGCGTGTGTGTATGTGAGTGTATGTGTTTGTGTGTGTGTGTGTTTGTGTG